CTCTGCCTGTTGTCTCTTTTGCAGACCCTGGTGATCAAAGTCTGTGGGGTGATCCTCTCAGTGGTCGGTGGCCTGGCCGTTGGGAAGGTGATGTGCACCAAGTGCTCCCCAGCACACCCCTGCCATCCTGCTGCCCTCGGCTGCCAGAGGTGCCATAGCCTGTCACTGGCCTTCTGCTGGGAACAGGGCTCTGGTGGCCCCGTGGTGACCCCTCAGTTTGACTCCCTGGGCTGCTGGCCAGGCTTGGGGGAACCCCCAGGGTATGTGGTGCGACCGAGCTGGCCCCTGTGTGGCTCAGCTGAGGGCAGGAGAGCAGCCTGAGTCCGTCGGTGGTTGTCCCTGCAGATGTTGGATGGGGAAGAGCTGGGTGCCCTGTTGGGACCCTTCTTGTTTGCTGGGGGCAAGGGAGGCCCCTGTCACCCCTGCTGTTGGGAACAGGAGGTGGCCATGACAGCCACTTGCTAGAATGAGGATTTAAGGGGAGGAGATAGCAAGGTCTGTCTTTCCCAGAGGGAAATCCTCCTGGCCAGCTTCTTCAGGGCTGCAACCTGGTGAGCCAGCATTCAGCCATCCCTGCCTGTCTCTGGGGTTCTTCCTCCTCTGCTCTGACTCCCCTCTCCTGCCCACAGGAAGGCCCCATGATTCACTCTGGAGCAGTGATTGCTGCTGGGATCTCCCAGGGAAGATCCACCTCCCTGAAGCGAGACTTCAAGGTGGGTGTTGAGGCCCTGAAGCCCAAACTGGGCTGTCCCTCCGGGTCACCCTGGTGGCTTGGGCTCATCCCTGGCACAGTCTGTGACTCCCCTAAACTGGCCTTTGCCTTTGGTGTTCCAGATCTTCGAGTACTTCCGCAGGGACACGGAGAAGAGGGACTTTGTCTCGGCGGGAGCTGCTGCGGGTGTCTCGGCTGCCTTTGGTGCCCCCGTGGGTGTGTGTCTCAGCTCTCTGATGTTGAGCAGTGTCTGCACACAGGTCACCTCCTCGGGAGGTTGCTCCCAGCTGCCAGGGTCTGCTTGGGGCACTGCAGGAGCCTTCCCACAAAGTGCCCAGCCCTGCTCCGAGCTGTCCTGCCGTGCGGGTCTTGGGAACAGGGGAGGTTCATCTGTGCCACGTTCCGGGTGGTGCCTCCCTGGGGTGGAGTGGGGCAGGGGAGGGGCTTCAATGCCATCAGAACATCTCTGGTAGCTGGGTGGGCTTGGCTGCTCCCTTCACTGGAGGCTGTGAGGTGCAGAGCAGTGTGGGGCACATGTGCTGGGATGAATTTGGGTGCCTTGGCTGCTGCTGCAAACCAAGGGTCCATGTCACGTGTCCTCTGTGAAGGTGTTTGTGTTTTGCATTTGCAGGGGGTGTCCTCTTCAGCTTGGAGGAAGGGGCTTCCTTCTGGAACCAGTTCCTGACCTGGAGAATTGTAAGTACTGGAAAGCAGGAGCTCCCATCTCCAGTGGGGGGCATTGCCTTTCCTGATGCCCCACAGCCCCACGTGTGGGACACGTCCCAGGGAACAGCATCCCAGCTCCACCCTGCTGTGCCCTGGTCCTCAGGGGCTGAGTTTGGGCCTGGCTCAGCTCCATCTTGCTGCCAGCCCCTTTCCAAGGGAGCTGCCATGGGTTGTGCCCCAGGGCAACAGAGAGGCCAGAGGAGGAGCAAGTCCCTGGTCAGTGTAAGCTGCCCAGAGTGCAGCCCCAGGGGAGGTGGCCTCTTGTTCCCACCACACTGTGGGTACCAAGCTCTGCTCAGGGGGATGTTTGGGGTAATGCTGGGGGCATGTGGTGAGGTTGGAGGCATCTGGCAGTGACTCAGGGCTGCATCTCCTTCCAGTTCTTTGCCTCCATGATCTCTACGTTCACTCTGAACTCTGTCCTGAGTGTTTACCATGGCAATGCTTGGGATCTCTCCAGCCCTGGGCTCATCAACTTTGGCAGGTTTGATAACGAGGTATGACAGGGTATTCCCCATGCAGAGCTTTGTTGGGGGGTTAGAAGCAGCCCATGGCAGCTTGGGACCACCAGTCTGTCTTATAGTTCACCCAACAGCCATGTCCCAGCTGCACCAACCCCAGCAAAAGGCTTTTCTGCAGCCACTGGTGGGGCTGGGGCTGTGAGGTGTCCAGGGGAGACTTTGGGGCAGCTCTGGGAGTCCCAGGCTGGTGCTGTCCCAGCAAACAGGGACAAGCTGCAGGGCTGCTGATGGGCCAGAAGATCTGAAACCCGTGTCTTGCTTTCTTGCAGAAAATGGGATACACCATCCAGGAAATTCCTATCTTCATCTTTATGGGAGTGGTTGGTAAGTGAGTGCTGCTCTTTCCATTTGACCAGTCTGAATAATTTCCTCTGTTGTCCCCCTGGGTCTAAAAAGCTTTGGAATCTGGTTGCCTGAGGAGAATGGGAAATCCATTAAGCTCTGGAGCAGAGGCTGCTTGTGGGGCTTACATGGGAGGGGGGAGAACTGGGTCCTGGCCCAACCCTCACCTTGTAGCAAAGGAGACCCCTTCACCCATGTCCTGCAGAGTTGTTGAGGGGGGGGTCAGTGCATCTCAGCCTTGGGCAGCCCTTTGCTTTGGAGTGAACCACCCTTGTCCCTGTGGACTTGGCCTGTCCCTCACCTGCCCAGTGCCAGGGCTGTGACACTGGCCCCCAGCCACCCTGCTGCTGGTGCTGAGCTCCTCTCAGTGTCCTGGGCAGCCCTGGGAGGGTCTGACACCTGCACACTGAGCTGCTCCTCTTTTGCATTGGCAGGAGGGATCCTGGGGGCCCTGTTCAATGCCCTCAATTACTGGCTGACGATGTTCCGGATCAGGTAAGAGCTGGTGGGTGGCTCGGGGGGTGGGCATGGCTTGGCTGCCACCTTCTGTGCCCTCTCAGAGCTCCATCCCCAGCCAGGGCAAGGCTGTCATCTCACACACAAGGTGAGCAGCAGCAGCAGCCCACAGGAGCTGGGAGGCAAAGATGCTGCCAGGCTGGGAGCTGCAGCTTCCCACTGCTGCTCTGACCCTGCCAAGAACTTCCCTCCCCTGGCTTGAGGGGGCTCAGAGAAGTACAAACTCCGTGCAGACCTGACTGTTTTGTGCTTCAGAGAGGAACAAGAGCTGCTAAAGCCATCTGAGCCCAGTTTGGCAAAGCCAGTGTTTTTCACTGGGTTTTCAAACCCCAGGACCAGCCTCGTGGCCTCAGGGAGGGATGTTCTGTGGCAGCAGAGTGGTGAGGGGCCTGCAGGAACTTCCAGGGCTCCTCTCAAACCTTCACAAGCCTCAGGCTTCTGGGCTTGGCTCTGCACTGTCCCCCCCAGCCAGACCACACCAGCCTTTCCCTGGGAGCTGTGCCTGGCTCTATGCAGGGAAGGTGGGCAGGTGCACTGGAGCTGGGTGAGAAAAGCTGCTCCTGCTGCTGCCTTCCTGCTCCAGGTCCTTATGGTGGCTCTGCCAGAGGACAGAGCACAGGACAGCCTGGCAGGGTCTGGGGAGAGGGAGCAGAGGCAGCCAACCTGTGCCTGTGCCTGATGTGATGTGCCAAGCCAGGCTGGGGGTGATCCTGCCTGCACCCCTGGGTGTCACCCCTGCTCTGCTCCCTCCACAGGTACATCCACCGGCCCTGCCTGCAGGTGGTGGAGGCCATGCTGGTGGCAGCAGTGACAGCAACCGTGGGCTTTGTCATGATTTACTGCTCGAGGGACTGCCAGCCCATGCAGGGCAGCACAGTGGCCTATCCCCTGCAGGTAGGAAATGCTGGATATGGCCCCCAGGGTGGAGGAAAAAGCAGGGAGATGAGACCCTGCTGGGCTTTGTGACCCTGGACACCACAGTCAGTGTCCTCTGCCACGGAGCTGGAGACCCAGGCGTGGTGTGGCAGTGCTTGCTGCCCAGAGCTGCCTCCTCCTGCCACGTGTCCCCCTGGGCCTGGCAGCCTTCCCCACCCCAGGGCAGCCCAGACCTGCCATGTCTAACTCTCTTTTCTTCCCCCTCAGCTTTTCTGTGCTGATGGAGAGTACAACTCCATGGCCACTGCCTTCTTCAACACACCTGAGAAGAGCGTTGTCAACCTGTTCCATGACCCTCCAGGTCTGTGTGCCAGCAGGTGAACGTGAGCAGGGCTGGTGTGGGGTGGCCAGTCTGTTCCCTGGCCACTTGTGTTGGGACAAGGCAGGGGATGCCCAGGAGGGCAGGACAGGATCCAGCAAAGCCCTGTGCCTGCTCCTTTCCTGCAGTGGTGGAAGGAGGAGGGGTGGGTTCTGTGCCTTGTGGCACCTACAAGCTCAGCCAAAGGGCTGTGATCTCAGGAACTTGTGGGTGAGGGGCTGGTTTTGTTTGTGCATGTTTGCAAGCTCCTCTGAGGTGTGTGGGGGCATGTCTGACCCTTGCTGGCTGTCTGAAGTCCATCCTGGAAATGTCCCTGCCTGTTTTCTTAATTAGCAGGGCCTCTTGCCCCAGAATGACTTTACCTTCTGGGCAGGTTGTGGAAGTGGATTTGGAATTGCTTGAGAATTGCAGTCTGGCTCCCACGTTTCAGTTCCTGTCTCCCTTGGACCTCATGTAACACCAGTTTGCCCTCTACCTGCTGCTCTGGGTTTCATGCCCAGCCTCACATGGGCAGGGAGCAGACAGCTCCAAATTTCCAGACCTCAGCCCAAAGAGTGCAGCTTGGCCACCTCAAGCCAAGTGATGACCATCCTGTGTCTTGGGGCCATTCCCTGCACTGCTGGGTCCTCCCTGGCTCAGGGCTTTGGTCCATTGACCTCTCTGTGAAAGAAAGGTTGCCAAGTACTTGTTTAAACTGGACTGAGCTGCCCAGAAGTCCTAAAATAGCAGCAGGCTGAGTCCTGGGGACAGCAGGGTCTTGCTGTGGTGGCACAGCCTGTGCAGTGGGACAGCCACAGGAGCTGTGGGACAGGAGGGGGTTTGCAGAACCTGCTGTGTTTGATCCTGAAGCTGGCAGTAGGACCTCTGCCAGCTCAGCAGTGCTGTGTCCTCCTGACCTAGTCCTCCCACACTGGTGGGTCCCCTGGGGCTTTGTGAAGTGGGTCAGGCTGCCTGGTGGGAGCCTGGGAACTGTAGGGCTGGGAGGGGACACGTCACAGGCCATGAGATGGAGGAAAGGCAGGACTTGGTGGGATGGGAGGGCTTGGGGTGGCTCTGGCTGGCTGGTGGGGCCTTGAGGTGGCACAAACAACCTAAAGAGCTGGTTTGAAAGGCTGGTGCTGCCAGGGTGGGAGGTGCATCCAACGAGAGGGGCTTGGACTGCTGGGAGAGTGTCCTGGGGCTGCTGCTGTCTGTTCCCCCCTGCTCACAGCCCATCACGCTGTCTTCTGGGCTGCAGGACCAGCACTCACTGCATTCTCTCTCTACCTCAGGTTCCTACAACCCCATGACCCTGGGGATGTTCACACTGATGTATTTCTTCCTGGCCTGCTGGACCTACGGCCTCACGGTGTCCGCCGGGGTCTTCATCCCCTCCCTGCTGATCGGCGCTGCCTGGGGGAGGCTCTTTGGCATCTCCCTGTCCTACCTGACCAATGCCTCAGTGAGTCCTTGCTGGGGATGGGTGCTGGGTAGGGGGGGTTTGTGGCACCCAGCCCTCCTCCCATGGCCCTGGGCAGGCTGTAGGGGCAGGCAGCTGGCATGGAGACGTGTGGAGTGGGCTGGCTCCTCACTAGATGTCTTCCTGAGCTGGGTCTGGGCTTTCCCATGTCCTAATGGAGCCCTGCCAGAGCAGCGCAGGCACCCTCAGGTGTTTGTCCCCACTTTGGAGAGGGGTTTGGGGGCCAGGGCACTGCTCACTACTGCTGGATGCCCTGGAGCCAACAGCTGCCTCAGCCACTTCTCTCTCCCATGCTCAGATCTGGGCTGACCCCGGAAAGTACGCCCTGATGGGAGCTGCTGCCCAGCTAGGTGAGTTCCCCACAGGCACTGTGGACACCTCCTGCTTGTGCTGGGGGGAAGGTGGTGTAGGAAAACGTGGTCCATGCTTCCCTGGTGCAGCTCCTTCCCCAGCCTGGCTCTCAGCTTCCTGATGGCACTGCCAGGCACAGGCAGTGCTGGGGCAGCTGAGGATGGACTCATCCAGGGCAGTCCTGCCTGTGTGGGCAGTCATGGAGCACCATGGCAGAGACCTGGGGGGTCTCAGGTGCTTTGCTATCCCCTCACCCTATGTTTCCCTGCCCCCCTAAGCCCCCACACCTCTCGGGTACCCCTTGTAGGTGGCATTGTGAGGATGACACTGAGTCTCACAGTCATCATGATGGAGGCAACAGGCAACGTCACCTATGGGTTCCCCATCATGCTGGTGCTGATGACAGCAAAGATTGTGGGAGACTACTTTGTGGAGGTGAGGGCTGGGGTGCTAACTGGGAGGCTGGGGGGTGCTGGGAAGGTGCAGGGGCCAGGACAAGGATGTGCTCCCTCTTGGAGGGGAGCTGCTGCCTGGCTGTACCTCCCCAGCATCTCACCAGGCTTCCCCTGTTGGGCTTGGCTGTCCTTGCAGGGGCTCTATGACATGCACATCCAGCTGCAGAGTGTGCCCTTCCTTCACTGGGAGGCCCCGGTGACATCCCACTCCCTCACAGCCAGGTAGGTGGGCTGGGGGACATTTGACACTCCCAAGGTGGCAACTTTTGGATCGTGCTGTTGGTTTGAGCTGGAAACGGAGGTGGTGATGTGTTTCATCCCCAGTGCCACCAGCACGGCCCCTCCCCCCATGAGGAAGCCCCTGAGTCCCCAGTGGGTTACAGGGATAGAGGAGGGAAGAATTTGGGGCTAGGGGGCTGTGTTTCACACCCAGCCTTCCAGAAGTGTGACCAGCAGGTCAAGGGAGGTGATTCTTCCCCTCTGTTCTCATGAAACACCCCCCTCCCCCCCGCCCCCCGCAGAGCTGGGTCCAGTTCTGGAGTCCCCAGCACAGGAAGGACATTGAGCTGTTGAAGTGAGTCCAGAGAAGGTCAGGAAGATGATCCAAGGGCTGGAGCAGCTCTGCTCTGGAGCCAGGCTGGGAGAGTTGGGGTGTTCAGCCTGGAGAAGAGAAGGCTCCAGGGAGACCTTAGAGAACCTTCCAGTGCCTGAAGGGGCTCCAGGAAAGCTGGGGAGGGACTTGGGACAAGGGCAGGGAGGGAGAGGACATGGGGGAAGGGATCAAAACTGGCAGAGGGGAGATTGAGGTTGGACATGAGGAGGAAATTCTTTGTTGTGAGGGTGGTGAGAGCCTGGCCCAGGTTGCCCAGGGAAGCTGTGGCTGCCCCATCTCTGGCAGTGTTGAAGGGCAGGTTGGATGGGGCTTGGAGCAACCTGGTCTGGTGGGAGGTGGCTTGGAAATGGATGCTCTTTAAGGTCCTTCCCAACCCAAACCAGTCTGTGATTCCATGGTTCCCCACAGGGAGGTCATGAGCACTCCTGTCACCTGCCTGCGGAGGATCGAGCGCGTGGGCACCGTTGTGGACATCCTGAGTGACACCTCCTCCAACCACAATGGCTTCCCGGTGGTGGAGAGCAACCCTGATGCCACTCAGGTGGGCTTGGGCACTGCTTGCCAGGGGTTGCAGCAGAGGGGGCTGCCACGGGACCCTCTCCCTTGCCCTCCAGCCCCATCTCACGTGTGCTGCTCTGTTGCAGGTGGCAGGACTGCGGGGCTTGATCCTGCGTTCCCAGCTCATCGTCCTGCCGAAGCACAAGGTGGGTGAGGCTGCCTGGAGACAGTTTGGGCTGCCCATGCCCTTGTCCCGTGGTGGCCTGAGGCCCCTTGCTGCCTGCCTTGCTCAGGAGGGTCCCTGTTCATCTCCCTCAGCTCAAAGGAGGAGACACTGGGGGTTGTCGTGCCATGCTGGGGTCATCCCAGCATCACCCTGTACCCCGTTGGGCTCACACCCCCCAAGTGAACGGGAAACGGGCTGTTCTTCTGCAGAGGGTCCACCTGCCTTGTGCTCCTGCCCTCTTCCTTCCCCTGGCCCCTGCTGCCTGTTGGTGCTGTGGGATGGTCCCTGATGGCCTCTCTGTCTCTCCTCCCAAGGTGTTTGTGGAAAGGGCCAACCTGAGCCTGGTGCAGCGGCGGCTGAAGCTGAAGGATTTCAG